AAATGGTATCAGAGCCTAGGTACTTTCATGGTATATATGAGATAGATATGAAATATTCGACATAGATATGTTTCTGAAATATGAATTTAGGAGAAACTAGTATGAAGAATACTAGGTTGGAAGAGGTAGATATACCTCAAAACCTTGATTTGTTAAACAAATGGACTATTCCTAAAGTCCCTATTAGAACAATCTATGATTATGGATAGTTTGATAAACTCTCTTCTAAACAACTTGTTTATATATATGTATATATATATATATATATATATATATATAAAAGCTATATTCGATAAGCTATATATACATCTTATATACTATATATAAGATGTGTTAGTATATAAGATGTATATATAGTATAGTATAGTATATATATATTAAATGTATAAAAAGTTTGGGATTAAAACAAAATTGGGGGGTTAAATGGCTATTTTATAAATAGTCAACGGCTATTTTTGACAGTCCAACGGCTATATTTTAAAAATAATTTTTTTTTTAAAAAAAAAATAGCCGTTGGGACCGTTTGGCCCGCTAAGGGACCGGTCTGATCCCGGGCCGGTCCCTGGTGGGCTAAATGGTCTAGGGCATGGCGGGCCCAAGGACCGGCCCACAAAACCGGCCCAGGCCCACTAAAATCGGGCCAAACAGTCCTGACCCGTTTAGCCCGCGGTCCCGGGCCTGGACAGGCCCACTTGCCACCCTTAACTACAAGTATGATGAGTTGCCTATTGTTTCTTCTGTTATCATGATTTTCACTCAACATTGTTTCCATATTCAAGTTTGTTCCAGTAAGGTGTAAAGTTGAGATCTTTAGCTCTTTTTCCATAATTTATTTGAATTGATTATTTAGTTTGGAGTTTTTGCTTAAATAAATAGCGAGGCATGTTTGTTCTCTGTTCAACATGAGATATTTTAGTTTGAAGAGTTAATTGTTTAAGATAAAAGATTTTGAAATTAGTTAAGTGATACTATACTATATGAAATGGACTGCAATGATAAAACGAAACTATTGTTTTCTTGGATTTGGGTCATAGTTAAGCATATCTGGACCAAATGGGTGTAGTTACCCAGACATGATAATTGTAGTGTTCCTTTTAATAAGCTAATCCACCTTTCATAAATAATTTGGTTTATACCTTTCACAACAATATCATATCCATAATTGATGACCTCAAAAACAATCTCAAATTTTATTTTAGAAACAAATCATGAATACGTTAGAATGCTTTATGCGCGATTAATTAATAAATCGTTACAGTTATGAGTACGGTTCCCATGACATAATTGTGACACCTAATCCCAATTTCAAGTGTACATTGATTCTATAACTTCAAAATAATAATAAAATAAACATATTATAAATCGTGGGTGCGTTTCACGTGACACAATTTATAATCTGTACAAAACAACAAGTGCATGACATCGTGACTTGTTTCAAATAAACTCCATAATTATTTAAAACAAACATATCATTAAAAGCGATTTTAAAAGGTAAAAATACACACATAAGTATGAAACATATGTAATAATCTGGATAGTTGAGTCAAGTGTAATTTGTTAAGCACCCATGCTAAACCACGGAATCCGGGAGTGCCTCTCACCTTCTCCCAGGTTAACAGAATTCCTTATCCGGTCTTCTGTATTTCGCGGACCGTAATTCGAAATCAAACTTCCTTGAATTGGGATTTTAAATAAACCGGTAATTTGGGACACCGTAAATAATTATTCCAAGTGGCGACTCTTAAAAATAAAATAAATTAATCACATTTCAAATAATGTCACTTTAATTGGAAAAACTCCTTTCCCCGTAAAAAGGAGGTGTGACAATATGTAAATCAATAGTCGCTTCTGCGACACAATCTCTGCTTCTGCCAGAATTCACTGAAGCCCCGACCTCCCGCACCTGCAGACACCTTTTCACTTATGCGACATCGTAGGTGCGAGCAACTTTCCGCTTCTGCGATCAAAGATCCACTCCTACGATGCACCCAAAATTCCGCTTTTGCGGTCTTCCCTCTTCCACACTTGTTTCGCTTCTGCGCCCATTTGTCCGCATCTGCGGTCACTACATCTGTTCCCATAACTCAGCAGGTGCGATCACACCAGGACTCCAAAAATCTCAGCAATGCCAACATGTTTCAAAATGGTCCACAATCAATCTGAAACACACTCTGGCCCCTCGGGACCCCGTCCGACATGCCAACAAGTCCCAAAACACAACACGAACCTACCCCGAGGCCTCAAATCACATATAATAACATCAAAACCACGAATCGTTAATTAAGATCAATCTCTTAAGTTCATAAACTTCAAACTTCGAACCAAGTATACGATTCAAGGCTAACCAATCTAGAATGAATTCAAATTTTGCATACAGGTTCCAAATGACATAACAAACCTATTCCAACTCCTGAAACAATAATTTAAACCCGATAATATCGAAGTCAACTCGCGGTCAAACTTATGAATCCAAACTTTTAAATGATCAACTTTCGCCAAATAGTGCCAGAACCTTGTAGGAACATCTAAATGCAAATCTCCGAACTTAACGGAACCATAAAAACTCCGATACGGGGGCAAATACACAAAAGTCAAACTTGGTCAACTCTTCCAACTTAAAGCTTCCTAGTTGAGAATCATTCTCCCAAATCAATCTCGAATCTCTCGAAAACCAAAACCGACGATACACGCAAGTCACAACACATCATATGAAGCTACTCATGACCTCAAACCACCGAATTGAATGCAAATGCTCAAAATGTCTGGTCGGATCATTACAATTATGCTCAATATTATGTACAAGTTGAACACCATGTACGTATCCCAAAGTCTGGTTACTAAAGCAGATGCCTGGTATAAGAATATCAATGCATTCACGTAAGAACCTCACACAAATTTCTATATCTTCTCTCCATGGGTGGTTTAATTTCTCAAACATTAGACAACTAATTAATAGTGCATCTACAAATTAAAACAACCGCCCTCTACTTAATTGGTTAGAGTCTCGTAGTGATAACATGTTATAAAACAATAAAAGAAGAAGAAGAGTATTGCAAAGAAAAGTAGAGAGAAAAAGAGAATTCTTATTTATTTGGGATGAATTACAATGAAATAAATCCCCTCTATTTATCAAAAAAATGGATTTAGCCATAAAGTGACAGACTCTACAAAATTATTTACAACGATAATAATATTTTTTTGTATTAAAATTCTAAGTTTCATTAGCAAATATTGCATAAGGAGGTTGTTGTTCCCGTTTAAAAGATGAAAGGAATATTTGTCAAGGGAGTGAGCGTCATCCCAACAAGGACTATGGTCCCATTATTTCCCAAAGAGAAACTTCCTAAACCATAAAATCACTAAAAACAATGAAGAAGTATTCTTCTTTAGAAAAACTTCCACTTATCTTCTCCTTCTTTAGTCCACTGTTCCACTAAACCCACCAAAACGACGACGTTCAAATGCTTCGTTCTCTCACTTCCAAACGCTCTCTCCAATCCCTTCTTCTTCACCACCACCACCCTCTCCGCCGTCCTAATCCCCAACTCACCCCTTTCAATCCCCGCCCCTTCTCTTCTACACCGGGTCCCACCACATCCGAATCCGAACTCCGTAAATACATCGGCTACACACTTCTCCTCTTAGGGTGTGGTGCCGCCACATACTATTCCTTCCCTTTCCCCGAAAACGCCAAGAACAAAAAAGCTCAGCTATTCCGCTACGCTCCGTTACCTGATGATCTTCACACGGTCTCCAATTGGAGCGGGACCCACGAGGTGCAGACCCGGACTTTCTTGCAACCCGAGTCGATTGAAGAGCTCGAAGGGATAGTGAAGGCTGCGAATGAGAAGAAGCAGAGGATCCGGCCTGTCGGGTCGGGTTTGTCGCCCAATGGGATCGGGTTGACCCGAGCTGGGATGGTGAATTTGGCCTTAATGGATAAGGTTTTGAATGTGGATGAGGAGAAGAAAACGGTTACTGTTCAAGCTGGGATAAGGGTTCAGCAGCTTGTGGATGCTATTAAGGAGTATGGGATTACTCTTCAGAACTTTGCATCTATAAGAGAACAGCAAATCGGTGGCATTGTCCAGGTGGATTCTTTATTCCGTCTTTTAGTTTATGTGGTGACATTTCATTTTCAGTCCGCTCCAAAAAGAATTCCGCTCCAAAAAGAATGACATATTTTTGTAACTTGGATGCAATTTAACTTAAACTTTTCATTTTACTCCTAATAAGAAGCTTTTGTAGCAACATGGATTAATTTTTATGAAACGTCTAAGATTACAAGTTTTAAAGGTCCTAAAACCACACAAATGTTTGGCATATTCGTGAGCACAAGTTTCAAAGTCTTCACTTTTTTCTTAAATTTCATGCCTATTCAATCTTTGCCACATTAATTAGAACAGAGGGAGCATTCTGTCTATTTCTTGTGGATTGGTTTATCTTTTGGACTAAAGAGAAGTGATAGATAACTTAGAGTGTTAACTAACATACATAGTGTGTCCATTCCAAATTTTCTCCTGTATATGTGATATTAATCAGAGCGTAACTTATGGGTTCAAGGGACCCAGTAGCTTTTGCATAAGTTGTCCCTGTGTATAGATTGGATCGTAGCTATATACTAACTGTTTTGCGGTGGCCTGAAATTTGCCTCCGGAAATTGGTGAAATGCTAAGTTCTGTGGGAAGTTTATGGATGCGCTCGATACAACTGATATAGTACCTTCTTGATGTATATCTGCCTATGTAAATAAAAATCTTAATTTTGCTTATCAATCAAAGAGAAAAATGTTTAAGCTGGTTCTGTATTACGTGTTGTGTTTCATGGGAGAGCATCTGTTTTTTCTACTTGTTTGAGGTTTCTACATTACTCCAACTTGCAGTTAGTTGATATATTGATTTGTTACTGAGGATCGATTGGGGTGATTCTTAAGCTTTTGTTCCTTTGAATTCAAATTGCTAGGTTGGTGCCCATGGCACTGGTGCCAAGTTGCCTCCAATTGATGAGCAAGTCATAAGCATGAAATTGGTTACCCCTGCCAAAGGCACAATAGAAATTTCAAAAGAGAAAGATCCAGAACTCTTTTATCTAGCTCGATGTGGACTTGGGGGCCTTGGTGTGGTCGCGGAAGTCACTCTTCAGTGTGTTGAGAGGCAGGAACTTGTAGAACATACTTTCCTATCTAACATGAAAGATATCAAGAAAAATCACAAGTAAATATTCTCTTTTTCTTTAGTAATTTGTTTCCCTTTTTGGTAAGCTCTCATAGCTGTTAAGGTAGACTTCTTAGTGGATTTTCTTTATAAAGAACTTGTTACTTGTTAATTTCCGTAACCAAGCTAGCGATTTGCAAGCATCCTAAAACCTAGTTCAAGGGATCTTATGGAAAAAAAGTAGTTTTTACAAGCAAGGATCATTGAATTTGGACATCCTTTGATTTTCTTGCTATTCAATCCACTAATTAAAATTAGAGCTATAAGCCCTAATTCCTTTCCTTTACCATTGCGAGAAAATGGTCTTCTGTGGCCACCTACAATTTGAATAAGAGAAAATGATGTTTTCAGATCTCGTGTGTTATTTTCAATTCTCTTATGTGTAAAAATGAAGATCTCTTGTAAAAAGGACATAAAACTAAAAACAAATTTATAACGGACTAACAAAACCAATTGACCCTCCCGTTGCTGCCGTGCTTCAATCTATCTTTCTTTTGGGGGTTAATTGATATTTGCTCCAGTTTATCCATCAGCTGCATCATGCTGGTGAGCTTCCAATCTTGGCAATTCCTTCTGTGCATGATGTTCCATGTGTCCCTGTTCAGCATTGAACTATTCTTGCATGAGGGTGCATCACAAAAGGCAAAAGTTCGGGAATTCCTTCTTTAGAGTGCTGTTCCCAATCATTTATCATGCCACAATCTGACGTGTTATAAATCCTAATTAAGCTTTGAATTTAAAATTAAGCCTTGATTTAGTGTCGTTGCTACTCTATCAGCGTTATCAAAGGCGAAAAGCGCAAAAAAGCTTTAAGGTCTATTGGGGCTTTAAGTGCAAAGGGCAAATAAAGCGTGAGCCTTAATGAAGAAAAGCGCAAATGGAGAAAAACTATAAATATATATGTGTAGTCTAAGACTAATATCTGTAAGCGTGAATACAAAATATGTGGACAAAGAAATTGAAGAAAATTTACGATAAAGTGAAATATAAATTTGTTAGTGTCTCCTCTTCAGGATTACGCTTATTGGCAAGGAAAAGTATGTTTTAGAGCCTTGATGCCAATACTGAAAAGTATGCTGTTTCACTATGCATTGTATAACCTGATTCTACCCGAAACATCACTGAAGAGTGGTCTTATTGAAGTTTTGAGACCCATTTGGACCCTTCATTAACTCTCAAATGTAGCCTTTTGACAGTAAATTGCTTTTACTATTTCTTCAAATTTGTAACTGGATTTGAATTTGATACAAACCTTTAAAACAGAAAATAAAGCAAGACAACATATATGTGAAAGATTGTTATTTTGATACACTTTGTAATAAATAAAGTAATACTAATATAATTTCATCGGCAAAAAACCTGCATGAACTCCTGCTTTAAATAGACTATCCTTTCAGAAAATTAGTAGGTAAAACTGCTAGTTAATATATACTGAACTTTCCATTAATGGACCCCATTAACTCTCAAATGTAGCCTTTTGACAGTAAATTGCTTTTACTATTTCTTCAAATTTGTAACTGGATTTAAATTTGATACAAACCTTTAAAACAGAAAATAAAGCAACACAACATATATGTGAAAGATTGTTATTTTGATACACTTCGTAATAAATAAAGTAATACTAATATAATTTCATCGGCAAAAAACCTGCATGAACCCCTGCTTTAAATAGACTATCCTTTCAGAAAATTAGTAGGTAAAACTGCTAGTTAATATATACTGAAATTTCCATTAATGGACCCCATAATTCTCAATTTCGTGATTTTTCTGAATTCGTAAGCGCAAGATGGACCGTAAAAAAAAAAGAGATGGCATTTCCTATATTTTTGTCGTCTTACATTATTTATCTTGTTAAAACTTTTGGATAAGAAACAATGTTAATTTTGAAATTCTACAATTAGGAAATCACAAGTTGTATACGAACCTGGTCGGGTTAATATGGGGACTAAAATTTGATGTATTTCATATTTAGTTTCTCCTACTAATTAATTTAATTATATTGAACCCTCTATACCCAAATAAATTATCTAATACGTACTCATTTTGAAAGTATTATTTCACCAAAATATTGAAAATTTGTTGTCTTCATTCGGTCTGTATCTATTGCATCTTTCTTTTTTCTTGTTCTGATTTGAGATAAACAAACCTGCTGAATATGGGTCTTAGTAGAGAAAGTGAGAACCCAAAATAAGTCACCATGAGATTTCATAGTCATAGTTTTATATCATCAACTCATTGTAAAAGTACTTTCTAAATAAGAAGTAAATATTAATATTGTGACTGAGGCTTTTAGAATTNCATGAATATTGGTCTTAGTAGAGAAAGTGAGAAACCAAAATAAGTCACCATGGGATTTCATAGTCATAGTTTTATATCATCAACTCGCTGTAAAAGTACTTTTTAAATAAGAATTAAATATTAATACTGTGACTGAGGCTTTTAGAAGTAGATTCAGTTTTGATATAATACCCTCAATATTTGTCCATGTATATATATATAAAGAATGCAACAATTCATATACGTGTGTTCTCACTAAGAAAAAATTATTTAATGTCAAAATCAGTCATCTAGCACATGGATCAAATATATTGTAAGATATTGAGATAAAGAATCCAACTTGTTGCGTTTTATTTAACTTTTATACCTTTAAATATCATTTACAAATGAAGTGCTTATGTGCATCTACATCACTTAAATGATAATTTTCGCTTGAGAAAAAAGTGATGCGAATCTTGAATTGTTTCTAAGCTGAATATAATGTCTTTATCCTCTCTTTTTTTCACTATTTTTATATGCTATTTATTTTCTATTTTGTTGAGATTATATAAAACAAAATACAAACATCTCTTGGGCAATCAAGTTTAAACAGTAATTAGCAATTCTTTAATCGTTCATTTCAAAATTATCTAACTAAAAAAAAGGGTTTTTATGCTCGAGAAACCAAAAGGAAAAAGAGTTGAACAATCTCCAATCTTTTTAGATACTTAAAGAGTAATGATGAAAGTATTAATAAGCTCTCCATTATTCTCCCTTATAAGAAGAA